CAGCTCGTGCTCATCCGCCATGGCGAGAGCGCCTGGAACCTGGAGAACCGCTTCAGCGGCTGGTACGACGCCGACCTGAGCCCGGCGGGGCATGAGGAGGCCAAACGCGGTGGACAGGCGCTGCGAGGTACGGAGGTGATGGGGCCGCCGAGGTCCCTCTCCCGGGTCGGAGGGGCCCCGGCGTGCGGCGCTCGGCCAGGAACAGCTGCTCCCGTTTGCGATGCTCCTGGGGCGACCGAGACTTTGGGCATCATCTCCCCACTAGTTCATTGTGCAGTTGAGAAAATGGGCCCGATATGGGGACTCGGCTTGCTCAAGGTCACCCCAGGAGTGTGCGGGGGGCCGCGGCAGGGTGGGGATCCAGGGGGCCACCCCGCACCCCGCCACCCTTTCTACGACATCACCTACGTAATTCATTCTGATCTGAACATTGAGTGATTCAGGGACTGGCAGCCCCTTTTGGAGCAACCTCTGGCGACCCGGCCGTCATGGTCCCACCAGGGCCGAAGGCCATCGCAGAGCCCATCGCAGAGCCCCGGGGGTGTGGGCTGGTGGGGGGTGGTCACAGGATGCTGGAATCATTCAGAGGTGGCTGCTGCGGATCCTCGCGAAGGGAGCAGGTGGAGAATGATGCTTCCCCGAGGAATGCTACCAAACATTGGCTGCAGAACAGCAAGAAAATCACTTGCTTGTGGGGGGGCTTTCCAGCCCAGCCACGTTCCACAAAGTGCTGGGTCCACACACGTACCCACAAATCTTACTGAATGATTGAATGATTTGAAGGGAGCCTTCCCATTGACAAAGTGTGACTCTTCTACCTCCCTGTCTCCTTGATAATTGAATAAAGTGAGATTTAGAAAGATGACTTGTCCAAGGTCATGTCGTCTTATTGTGCCCTTGCTCCAAATCTGGAGTTGAGTAACAGGTGGGTGTGAGGAACTGGTAGGGCGTTGACCAAGGGCGCTGGGCAAAGGTGGAAGTGGTCAGAGATAAACGTGTTCCTACCCGGGCTTGCCCTCCCACAGACTGACTGCTCTCCACGGTTTTGGACGTCTTCCCTGTTCAGCAGTCAGACAATCTCTGTTGTAAAGGACGTGATTAGGCCCAGATCCAGCTCGTCCTGCTCTGCCCAACAGCTGGACGGAGTAGCCATTGAAAAGGGCCATTGAGACCTGAAGGATGGGAACAAGGATTGGGCCTTGTACTGCTTTCTCTAAGCTGCTTACTTTCAAGATGGATCCTTTTGAAATGAAACAAAGCCTTAGGCTACCTGGGCAGTGTCTTCCTGCTGGGGGCTTGTGGATGCCCTGGGATGGCCAGTGTGACCTCGTGTCCTCTAGGAGGCAGTGAAGGGGGCACTGTTGGTAAAGGAGGCCATTTTCTTCAGCAGTCTCGCAGGAAGAGCTGTGTGTGGACCGGTTTGGGGATGAGTAATCTGGAACAAAGCACATTGCAGCTGCCCCATTAAGAACTTACAAGCCGTATTTCAGTTATTAGGTAAATGTTTGGTAGCATTACTTTAAAAATAAGATTGTAACATGTTATAGTATAACATTGTAGATTAAATTGTGCAACAATGAATGACTATTAAGGCTTATATTATAGGAGGTTCAGATAAAGAAACACAATGACAGAATTGTAATTTGAAACAGTTGGTGAAGGAATGCTATTGGAATGAAATATATTCAATATCCTGGAACAAAATAATTTGAATAATTGTTTTGAAACTTTGATGGAAAGTGAGTTCCAATTTTAAATCATTTTCTCTTGAAAAAGTGTTTCCAGAAAGCAGTTCCACTTCTTCACCAAAATAAGCAACCTAGTGTAATCCCATATTTAATCAGAAAAAAAGAATGGTTCTAAAAGCAAAAATATGAAAGTAAATGAACTAATAATTAAATGCTTTTGAAAAAAAGGAAAGATTAAAGGCAAAAACCATTGTGAATCTGAAAGGCTACACTATTTTACAATCATTTATATTAGAGTCAATATTTTAGAACCAGTGCTTTTAGTGATAGCTTGTTAGGTGCCATCAATTCAGTAGCAGCGTTTGTGAAATCTTGACTATGATTTCAGGAGGAAGTTCCCACTGGCACGTTTACTACTGAAAAAGCGATCACCTGTGGAGGTGAAATCCATAGCACGTGGTCCACTGCTGCCCTTGGCCTATCCTTTGATTTCATGGAAGTTCGAGTTCTGTAAAGAGTCCTAAAAAAATAAGAGAGAGAGAGTCCTAAGGGGAACTGCTTTTCTCCTTGGAGACCTATTAGTTTATCCTAAGTGAGGCTCCCCTTTGCAAGTGGACTAACTAGTGAAAACAGTGGAGTTTTTTCCGCCTGAGAACTGAGGCTTGCACTGTGGCTATACATTTCCCAGTGACTCAGCCATTTGTTGGGGGTGCCGCTCCTCCACTTACTGTAGGTTTGGGAGGAGAAGGAAGTGGAGTCTGATGCAGACTTGCCCTGAGGCTCAAGGATGAGCCTGGTGATTAATCCTCGCTTTCCCCCATTGTTGTAGTTCTTACTGACCTCATTTTCAGCTGAAAGACCAGCAGGAAGATTTCACATTTTGTTAATTACGGTTGCCAACCTCAGTATGAAGCAATACCAGCATAGCCTGTGCTGAGTTTCAAAGAGGACCTTGTATCTTCATGGAGAAAAAGTCCTGGCCCACTACATAAAGGAAAAGGCCATCATTATATTAAAGACATTTATTGGAAGGGAGAATAGTCTTTCATGGAGACATAGAACAAATTGGTTGTTTTAATCTATTTGTTGTGCCAACATAACTAAATTTTCACCCTGTCCTGTAATACACTTGGGAGGAGATACACCTTTCTGAATGAATTGTTCCTCTAATGAGTAGCTTCTGTCAAACTTGTTTTAGCAGCCGACATAAGGTAGATGTACTTTATTCTCCTAATGGTATTGTACTTATATTTAAAAAATCCACCTTTTTATTAGGATTTTGGGCCAGCCTTATAACTCCTTATCATTAAGCCGCGAGAGCTCCCTTTTATTGTGATTTTAGTGTAAGTTGATGCTGGTTTTCCCTTCAACAGTTCATGCACACCTATTTTCTTATGCTTTAAGTAGAAGCTTACACAGCAAATATTGTTTACATTTAAAAATTTTTGTATAAGTCCTTGTATGACACTGGGTAAGAGCTTTTATGTTGGCATTCTCATTATTTCCATCTTTGTTCTGTCTTCATTGCCCTAACTTCCCCTCCCACTCCTTGCTTTCCCATCTTGGCTTTTGGGTAAATGTTGATTGTTTTTTAAGTGAGCACAACTCTCTCTTACAAGGCAGGGTTACTCTAAAGGGTTGTTGTTAAGTGCCGTCGAGTCACAGCCGACTCATAGCAACCCTTTGAACTTCCTGTATAACTTTTGTCCTTTCTCTAGGTTCATAGGGTTTCAAGAGGCAAGCTATTGTGGAAGTGGATGCTACTCCTGCTTCCAAACTCTAAAGGGTAGTAGGGAATAATCTATCATTTTGAGTCCGGCTTAGAAGAACCATGAGATTAAGAGCTGGTGTAGACAACACATAGTGAAAATATAGTTTAATGAAACACACAGAAGTGCAGTTGTATCAGCAAGATATGTCAGAAGGCTGAAGAATATTAGTAATTATCCTTCAGAAATGCCACTTTTATTAAAAACATGCCTTGAAGAAAGAAAAAACACACCTTGGGAGTTTTACAGTGAGGACAGCTGGAGATGGTGAAGAGTTGGATTTTTGGGTCATATAGCTGGACTTGAGTTTCTCACCTAATTAATAGGACTGTGAATAATTTGCACTTCTGTAGCCTGTTTTCTTCATCTGGTGAAATGTATCATGAGGGTTTGTAACATCATGGCAGAGTCCATAGGGAGCTGAACAACTAACCTGAAGGTCAAGTTTATCTGGCTCTTTGAAAACAGGAGAAAGATGAGCAGTGACTTCCCATGTGATTTGCGACCTCTGAAGGGTCAGCTATGAGTCATTTCCAGTGACTCGATTCCATTGAGCTTGAGTTTTGAGAGGAGTTGTGAAGACTAAATAATACATACGAAAGACTTAATCTAAATGTTAACATGATTTGTGAACTTTCATGCAAAAATTTTTAAAAATGAGATTCTAACTTTTTAGGATACTTATTAGAAAGAAGGGAACTCTGGTGACCTAGTGATAAGAAGCTGTACTACTTTTCCAAAGGCACACGGTTCAAATCTACCAGCTGCTTTGTGGGAGAAGGATTGACATTATTCTGGGGGATGAAATGCCTCTGAAAACCTGCTGGAGGGTCAGCTCTGTTGATTCTGACTTGATGGCACACACCAACATTTGAATTGAAACAGAAATACTTAAAAGAAAAATTTATGCTCTAGAAATTAGGTTACGGGGCACACATAAAAGGATTGGCTGCTGGTGTCTTTAGATCTGAGTTAGAGAAATGATTGAGAAGCCACTGGACGGTATGGTTCCAGCTGTCATTCAACAAGTGAGGAGTAAGCTGCACTGCCAACCCAAAGGCTGCACTCTGGCGGTGTGAATCCACCAGCCACCCTGTAGTGACTAGGGACAGAAGGAGAATTCATGTCTTTGAGCTGTGGTGCTGGAGAAGAGTACTGAATATACCACGGACTGCTAGGAGAACAAACAGGTTCATCCTAGAGAGGGTAAAGCCAGGCTGCTCCTTGGAGGCAAGGATTCTGAAGCTTCATCTGACATACTTTGGATATGTTGCAAGGGGAAACCAGTTCTTGGAGATAGACCTCATCCCTGGGAGGGTGGAGGGACAGTGCAAGAGAGGAAGACCCTGGATGAGATGGATTGAGTGAGTGCCTGGGATAATGGGGGTATATGTGTCAGAGACAGTAAGATTGGCAAGGGATAGAGCAGGGTTTGGGGCTGTTTTACGTAGGGTCGCTATGAGTTGCAGATGACTCAACAGCACATAACAGTTTTCATTTGGACTTCCTGTGCAGGAGATTTACGTGTAGGAAAATATGCTCAGAGTAGGCCTGAGTAGTTAATAATTTTGAATATATTGTTTTCAGATGCTGGCTATGAGTTTGACATCTGCTTCACCTCAGTGCAGAAGAGAGCGATCCGGACGCTCTGGACAGTACTGGACGCCATTGACCAGATGTGGCTGCCAGTAGTGAGGACTTGGCGCCTCAATGAGCGGCATTATGGAGGTCTGACTGGCCTCAATAAAGCAGAAACTGCTGCCAAGCATGGTGAGGCCCAGGTAAAGATCTGGAGGCGCTCCTATGACGTCCCACCACCACCGATGGAGCCTGACCACCCCTTCTACAGCAACATCAGTAAGGTACAGACATGCCGAGGTTTGGTTTACTCTGTAGGATCAGGGGGTTAGAATCTAAGCCTTGTTCCCTCTCCCCTTTTATTAAATATTTATTTTTAAGTTTTATTAAAAGTATGTCCAATCCCACTGAGTTTATAATGTGTACAGTTATTTCATTGTAGTTTTCCTTTCCCTCAAGGAATGATCTTCATTTGTCCAAAGATTTTATTTACAGTTTGTTGCTTATCTGAGAAGAACGGCTGTCTCTTGTTTTATAAGCTCACTCATCGGTTTAGGGCTTTTAAGCCAATCTCAAGTTAAAGTAGCAAGACCCTGGTTCATAACATCTTTGCTTTGCTAAACTACTTTTTTTGAACTGCTCATCTTCCCAGTACTAGGTAATGGGAAAAGGAGGGGTGACTGTTAATTATTCCCTTTTCTGATGAGAGACCCTGATTCGTCACTAAGACCTCAGGGTTGATTGGCATAATTGGCAGAGGTTAAAGCTACTTCACAGGCACAACAGCTAACACTCGAGCTTTACCCTTTTGGCTGTTCAGGATCGCAGGTATGCAGACCTGACTGAAGATCAGTTGCCCTCCTGTGAGAGTCTGAAGGACACTATTGCCAGAGCCCTGCCCTTTTGGAATGAAGAAATAGTTCCTCAGATCAAGGAGGGGAAGCGAGTACTGATTGCAGCCCATGGCAACAGCCTTCGGGGCATTGTCAAACATCTGGAGGGTATGTGCCTTCTTCAGAGGGGTGTTCCTGCAGTAAAACAAAACAGCTGAGTCCAAAGAGGGGCTTGCTTAGCACCAGGATCTTCAGAAATGGGCTGGACTTTATCGATAGCCTTACAAAGATGGTCTGGATTGACTACTATTAGCAAATACGACTCCTCTACCCTTGCTTCTCAAATCTGCAATCTCACAGCAGGAACAGCATTAATACAGAAGCTCTGGGCCCACCCCAGGCCTCCTGATTCAGAAGGGTGATCTGGATACACACTAACATTTGAGATTCCAGTCCTAGGCTAAGATTGCCAATGGCAAGTACTGGTAAAATCTTCCTAGTTACTTTTTGTAACTCCCCACGAGTCCCAATTTACAGATTTTTGTCAAGCTCAATGGCACTATTGAGGATATCTTAAATGTATTTCGTCTTGTTTCACCGGGCAGTTTCCATTTCCTATCTTGGTAGTGGGTGATAGATGAGAACCTGGGAGAAAGGGTGCCTTGTTTTAATTTCTGTGAAAGCCCTTGTCATCTGGGATAAATAGTAAACCTTCAGGGGTGATGTGGACTCACGTCTTACTTGGCTGATCTTGGGTATTTTCAGGTCTCTCCGAGGAGGCCATCATGGAGCTGAACCTGCCCACTGGAATTCCTATTGTCTATGAACTGGACAAGAACTTGAAGCCCATCAAGCCCAT